TATATTATCAACATATATAGTCACGACCGTCATGGGTTCTGTCACGGGTGCGCGCGCTTCATCATTATGATCATGATCATTATCTAATGATAATAATAATAATAATAATTATTATTATTATTACATTATTATTATTATCAACATATATAGTCACGACCGTCATGGGCCGGCCGGCCGGTTCTGTCACGGGTGCGCGCGCATCATCATTATGATCATTATCATTAATATTATATTGTTATTATTATCCATCCATCAACATATATAGTCACGACCGTCATGGGCCGGCCGGCTCTGTCACGGATGCGCGCGCACGGGGGAGTCATGGGTTCGCCGGCAGCCAACGTGCGCGCGCCGCCGGCATTACGTCATAGATTATAAACACAAGGTAATAAGGCCAAATAAAAAAATAGTGTGTGATAAGGCACAATTTGGATTATCTACTTATATAATTACCTTATTCTCTCTGTGTGAAGTTCACTGTGTGAAGTTCACGGATAGATTTTGGTCAGAATGGATAAAATAAAAAAAAATGTCAAGGGATGGGAATCGAACCCACGACCTTCCGCTTACCGGGCAGATGCCATGACCACTAGGCTACCCTGGACATATTTTTCCGTTCACATTTTTATTTTTATATTTTCAAGACACACACAGTTTGGGGCGGGACGTTTCACAAGAGAGACATCCACGGCGCCAATTTATAATTGTAACGAATAGTATTTTAATTAAAACATTTTTAAAATATATACGCACTCGGGTAAAACCCGGGCGTTGCCCGGGCCATTCGTCTAGTATATATATATTTGAAAATATAAACTATTTGTAACGCGCCCATTAAAAATAATATTATAAAATATTGGGAGCTCTTGGTTTAACAGTGGTAAACCGTCCCAGAAGTTTCGCCAGTTTAATCTACCATTCCGCCCGAATACTGTATTGGGCTATTTTGCCTTTATATCCAGTACTGAAGAGGGAAACTCTATCTCTATCGAACTCTCTTTTGTAAAAGTATTTTAAACGAAAGTAATAGACATTACGTATAATATATATATATATACATACATGTAGTATATTTTAAATTGTAATCTATATATATATATATATATATATATAAATGAATGAATGTGTGTGTGTCCTTTATGCCTTACCAAACCACTCATTGGAACGCCATGAAACTTGGGAAGCTATTTAGTATAGTACTGGGAAGGTTTCTGAAAAATAATTTCTTGAATATCTTGAATATCCTTAGAGTTATTTGCAGATTTGTAGATTTAACTCGAAAGCAGCGCCCCCATTGCGACGATGTTAACAAGTTTTTTTATCTATAAGTTTTATTATCACTAAGTTTATTATCCTAAATATTATTTATCAAAAGTAAGAATTTATACCTATTAATTGCGCACAAGTCAAAGTTAGTTATATTGGGAGAATAGATAAAATGATGATTTTGTAATGTAGAAAATTAGCAAAGACAAAATTCAGGATGACATGGCAATTTATTTGAGACAGGAATAATGATACAATTCCAAGGCAAGATACTATTCCTTTAACTTCCAAATACCGAGGGAACCAATTAATATTGATTTTATTCAACTCATCGAGTATTTTTCAAGGGACCGAGAAAAAATGTTCACTTTATCGAGAGATTCTTTAGACAAACCTTTACTCGGGTAAAACCCGGGCGAAGCCGGGTACATCCATACAAGAATAATGATACAATTCCAAGGCAAGATACTATTCCTTTAACTTCCAATTACCGAGGGAACCAATTAATATTGATTTTATTCAACTTATCGAGTATTTTTCAAGGGACCGGGGAAAAATGTTCACTTTATCGAGAGATTCGTTAGACAAACCTTTACTCGGGTAAAACCCGGGCGAAGCCGGGTACATCCGCTAGTATATAATAACACTGTGTCAATATAATTCACATATCTTCTAAATAGTTATAGCCAATAATTTATAAGATTATACCGTTCTATTAAAATGTACACTGCTCCTATTTCCACCACCCCCCATATTTTGTATGATATGCTATATCGTTATTAATATAACCTGTATCACCATTATTTGTATTTAAACTCAAAATGATGACCTAAAAATAAAAACACCAAAAGAGTGGTCAGCTACGTGGCAAAGCCAAAGGACATGACACGCCCCTGAATGGCCCCCTTCCAGGGCTTTTTATAGGCGACTCGCGCCCCGGGGTAAACAGAACAGTTTTAGCTCTGTGTATGATGCAGTGTGCCCATCTTCGCAGGCCGCTTCTGGCTCTCTCTTCTTGTGTCGGTGTTAGGCATCCAGGTTTGTGTCATAGTCTCCACATTTGTCCCGTGGGCTGTCTACGACCCGCTCGGTGCTAACATCTAGCCCTGTCTCTGCTTCTTGATTTCCGCGTGTGGGAATAACATCAACGAAAGACTGCCAGTTTATTCGCACGTCGATTCGATCGGGGTTACAACAGTAGACCCGTTTTAATATACTTATAGGGCACTTAGATATATGAAATTTGGTACACATGTTCAAACCTGATGACAATGCTAGCTGACCAATTTTAAGACTTCTGGGTTGTCAGGTTGGCCAAGAGCGGACAAATTTCTAAATTTCCTTTCAAATTTTGTATATTTAATTTTATTTATTTTGTTTTGCCAATAATTCGCGAACCGTTCCTTTTTAGCGATTTTCCTTCGATTTCTCCTTCTATGTCAAACTTTTTTGGTATACTTTTTACGCTCTTTCTGATGGTACCATTTTCATTGAGATTGGTCAACTTTTTTATTTAAAAGCTTTTATTTAGCTTGCCTCCATGTCTGTCTGTCGCCAAATCTTGTAATCAATTTTTATTAATATACTTATAGAGCACCTAGAAATATGAAATTTGGTACACATGTTCAAACCTAATGACAATGCTAGCTGACCAATTTTCAGACTTCTGGGTTGTCAGGTTGGCCAAGAACGGACAAATTTCCTTTTAAATTTTGTATATATAATTTTAATATGCTTCCAGACCATATAGAATAATGAAACTCACAATACTCGCTCAGTCCAAGTAATAATTGACAGATAGACAGACATACATTAATTTTTATATATAGAGATTAGCAGTAATTAAACGTAACAGTAAGAAAATGTTGATTTTAATATATGTAAATAGAGTCTCTTAAGAAAGACCACCTAAAAACATGACTCAAATTGTTTCTCCTGTAGGTGGTCTCTCATTGGAGATTCTAATTGATATTAAAGAATCTCTAATAGACCTTTAATAAGAGACTGCCTCTTGGAGAGACGGGTTAAGCTACGATTTTAGGAATCCTCTCAATGGAAGCTCTACTATATCTACTTTTTCACACTGTTTGGCTTAATAAATGCCATTTTAACCATTTTGAATGTTTATCAATCCAGTCTATTTTTTGATATTTTATAGGCAAAATCACTTCATTTCAATTCATAGGGAATTTTCAACATTTTTTTTGTCTTCATTCAGCTTACTTTCTATTATATTTTAAGCCATTGTTCCATTATACATATCTAATACCGTATACACTGTTTTACACAATTTCAAAAATGTCATTATAATAATTTGAATACAGATACATTAAAAACCTTCTCTTAATAATGATGATAATTTTTAATAAAAAATTAATGGAATTTGGGAAATAAAACGAAACGAAAAAAGGAAATCTGACAATAAATAGCTTTATAACTTTTCCCAAAGTTCTAAATGGTCAAATAGCAAGTGGCTATATAAATAAAGTTATACACAAAAATAAAATATAGATTTTATAATATTTTTTTTTTTCACTTAATTTTAATGCATTGTAAATTACTTCATCTTCAGGGTCATTGGTAGTTATGTGGAAAATTTGGTGACATTTGGTTAAGTCGTTTCTTAGTTTATCGATAAACAGATAGACAAATTTTGATTTATTTATATATAAAGATAATACAGAGATAATAAATCAGAGTGCTGAAAATATAACAGATATTAATAAATATTTATCCTTATTTTTTCCAAAAAAAAAAGGTTTTTCAAACTAATATTTAGATAGAAACCTTTCTGGTAGTATATTGCGATGAAATGAGTAGTTTGGTCCGGCATAAAGAAGAGGCATATAATAATTTTTTTCTATATGCATGATAATATTTAGAGCAGATTGTTCAATTATAACAGATAAATTAGAATATTTATCTTGATTATTTTTAGGGGAAAAGTTATTTCAAAAATTTTATTTGCTAGAAACCTTCCCAGTACTATACTAAATAACTTCCCAAAGTTTCATGGCGTTACAATAAGTGGTTTGGTCATGCATAAAGGAAAGACACACCACACACACACATACATTCATTTTTATATATATAGATGATCTGGCTTTGTGTCTTCTACTCGAATGAATGTTTTCTGTTAGAATTTTGTTTCTGCATACTAAAAGTGAACTCGCTTTACCCGTGGTCTCTGCTCTTTTGGAATTTTTTCCCTATATAATTTTGTATCTGATTATCAAACTTGATACAGCAATATTTTCATTATCATTTTCTGACTAAAAAACAACTATTTTTTCCCAGAACCTGTCAATTTCAATTTTTCTTGGCTAAAAATGCGGCAATGCTGGAGGTTGCGAAAGGATTTTTTCAATAAATGTTCAAGACATGGAAGGAATTAAAAATCCAAATATTAAGATTCCTATCTAAAACGTCCTTGGGATTACAAGCAAATAAATGAGAAAAGCCAACAAATATATTAATTTTATCTGTTATAATTTAGTCATTTTATTCCAATATCATCACGCATATATTTATATTCATTATATATATACTAGACGAATGGCCCGGGCAACGCCCGGGTTTTACCCGAGTGCGTATATATTTTAAAAATGTTTTAATTAAAATACTATTCGTTACAATTATAAATTGGCGCCGTGGATGTCTCTCTTGTGAAACGTCCCGCCCCAAGCTGTGTGTGTCTTGAAAATATAAAAATAAAAATGTGAACGGAAAAATATGTCCAGGGTAGCCTAGTGGTCATGGCATCTGCCCAGAAAGCGGAAAGTCGTGGGTTCGATTCCCATCCCTTGACACTTTTTTTATTTTATCCATTCTGACCAAAATCTATCCGTGAACTTCACACAGTGAACTTCACACAGAGAGAATAAGGCAATTATATAAGTAGATAATCCAAATTGTGCCTTATCACACACTATTTTTTTATTTGGCCTTATTACCTTGTGTTTATAATCTATGACGTAATGCCGGCGGCGCGCGCCCGTTGGCTGCCGGCGAGCACGTGACCTCCCTGTGCGCGCGCATCCGTGACAGAGCCGGCCGGCCCATGACGGTCGTGACTATATATGTTGATGGATGGATAATAATAATAATATAATAATAATGATAATGATCATAATGATGATGCGCGCGCACCCGTGACAGTACCGGCCGGCCGGCCCATGACGGTCGTGACTATATATTGTTACACCAGGTTGCGGCTTGGCAGACTCTTCAGCCTGGATTCTCTCCTGTGCTGGGTCTTGCATCTTACCAGAGCGTGTTTCAACCATCCTACAAATTTATAAAAGGGAATAACGAGATAAGTCTTCTTTAAGTAGCCACCAGAATCCTCTATTTATTTTCTCACATCAAAGAGAGCAGTGAAGTCACAGTGTACCTAAATACAAATGATGATGATTTAATAATCTGTTTTAAATAAATATCATAGAATATTTTATATAAAAATAAATAAATATATAATTTAAATTTCAAATATATTAAAACTAATATAAGAAATACGCCATTAATCATGATGTAACACTTCCCCCTCTCCAGAGGTCGTCACGTCCTCGTGATTGACCTCATCAATTCTTTCAAAATAGGGTTTGATTCTTGAGACATGGACAATCAATGGGTCTTGGCCAGGATTATCCTTTGGTTCAATTAAGTAATTTACGTTGGACAGCTTCTTTAATATTCTATAAGGGCCAAAATATTTTCTCAGTAGTTTATCACACTTTCCTATTTTCCTAATTGGTGTCCAAACTGCTACTAATTCTCCTGGTTCGTAGCTTCTTTCCATGTGTTTCTTGTCATAGTTCTTTTTCATTCTTTCTTGAGTCTTTTTGTGTTGTTAATAACTAATTTTCTTGTTCTGTTTATTTTGTCTAAGTGATGTTTTATGTATTCATCATAATCATCTTTGTCAATGTCCACCGAGATATTCCTGTCGTCCAAAAGAGACGTGGGTTCTCTTCCAAACATCAGGAAAAAGGGGGAATATCCTGTGGTTTCCTGAATTGTAGTATTGTAAGCGTGAGTGATGAATGGGAGTATTTCGTCCCAATTTTTCTGATCAGTGTTCACATACATACTGAGCATATTGATCAATGTTCTATTTAACCGCTCTGTCAATCCATTAGTCTGGGGATGATAGCTCGTTGTGAAGCAATGTTTAATCTTGCACGTTTTCATCACCTCTTTCACTAAATTACTGGTAAATTGAGAGCCTCTGTCACTAATAAGATATTGTGGGGCTCCGTGCCGAAGAAAAATATCCTCTACTAGAAATTTAGAAACTTCTTTCACTGTTGCTTCCGAGACTGCTCTTGTTTCTGCATATCTAGTGTAGTAGTCCGACAGCACGATTATCCATTTTTTCCTGTTTTTCGTAGATGGTAGTGGACCAACAAAGTCAATTCCAATTCTTTCGAAAGGAAAGTTGGCTGGGGGGATGGGCTGTAGTAGTCCAGAAGGTAATTGGTTTGAGCCTTTCCTACTTTGGCAAAGGTGACACGTCCTAACGAATTCTGAGACATCCTTTAGCATGGATGGCCAAAAGTATTTACTCTTTATTCGGTACATGGTTCTGGCGACGCCCAGATGGCCATTCGACATATGATTGTGATATTCTTTCATAATTTCTCTCTTTTTATTCTCTGGAACCACAAGCAACCACGCCCTGCCTTCAGGGTTCGGGTTTTTCTTAAAGAGGCATCCATCTTCTTCTTTAAAGTTTTGCGCAATTGATCGCCTGCTTCCATTAAGGTTTTTCTTAACACTTTCGATAAATTTATCCTCTTCGTCTGTTATTTGATTTAGAAATAGCCTTTCAAAATCCTCATCCCAATCAGTTTCTGGTAAGGGCCCCCTAGATAAGCCATCGGCGTCCAGATGCTTCTTTCCCGATTTATGTATTATATCGAAGTCATATTCTTGAATTTTCAATGCCCATCTTGCCAATCGACCTGTTGGATCCTTCAAGTTTTTGAGCCAGCATAAGGCGTGATGGTCTGTTACTATTTTAAAGTGTCTTCCATAAAGATAGGGTCGTAATTTTGACATTGACCAGACAACGGCCAGACATTCTTTTTCAGTAGTTGAATAATTTTGCTCCGCTTTACTTAGGGTACGACTCAAATATGAGATCACCTTCTCTTCACCACCGATGTCTTGGACAAGTGTTGCACCTATGCCGATGTTGGACGCATCAGTATGAACATAAGTAGGTGCATTTGGATTCAAGTGACCTAAAATTGGTGGACTTAATAGTGCTGTTTTTAGGGTTTGAAACGCTTCCTCTTGTCTTTCTGTCCAGGTAAATGATACACTTTTTTTATAAGGTTGGTCAAAGGGTCAGCAATTTTTGAAAATTATTTGATAAATTTTCTATAATATGAACACATTCCCAAAAAGGATTGTACTTCTTTGACCTTTTTGGGTCGAGGAAAATTTCTGACAGCTTTGATGTTATGTTCCGCGGGTTTTATACCATGTTTGCTCGTTATATAGCCGAGAATCTCCAATTCTTCAAAAGCAAATCGGCATTTTTTGTCGTTTAACCTTAAATTAGATTCACGAAAACATCTAAAAACAGCTTCAAGTCTTTTGAGGTGCGTTGGAAAATCCGGGCTATATATGATAACATCATCCAGATAACACAAACAAATTTGCCATCTCAGATTTCCAAGCATATTCTCCATATTTCTCTCAAAGGTAGCAGGCGCGTTACAAAGTCCAAAAGGCATCACGTTGAATTCATATAATCCATGCGCTGTAGTGAAAGCTGTTTTCTCTTTGTCTCTTTCTTCAACTTCAACTTGCCAATATCCAGATCTGAGGTCTATTGCTGAGAAGTGTGTAGATCCTTGGAGAGTATCCATAACTTCGTCTATTCTAGGGATCGGATAGACATCTTTTCCTTTCACATTATTCAGTTTTCTGTAGTCCACACAAAATCTGTATTTACCATCTCGCTTCTTGACCAATATTACTGGAAAAGACCAGGGGTTAGAAGATGGCCTAATTATGCCTTCTGTAAGCATCTCGTCAATTTGCTCTTTTATAATATCTCGTTCTTTAGCACTTACCCGGTAAGGCTTGTGTTTAATTGGCTTCGCGTCTTCTGTGTCTATCCGATGTTTTGCCAAATTGGTTCTCCCTAATCTCGATGAAAAAAGATCTCCATACCTTTCTAAAACTTGTTTTAACTCCTTCTGTTCCTTTGGTGAAAGATTTTCGTTTATTTGGAATCTAGGTTCTTCGTTCTTTTCTACCTCTCTTTCCCGACTCACATTTATTTTCGCTGGACTACTTCCAAAAGCCAATGTTTGGTTTTTCATTATTTTTAACGGTCGAGGATACGGATTAGTTATCCAGATGTGTGTTTCCCTATTTATAACATTGATCAAGCTTCTTGCTAGACGAAGTCCTTTTGTTTGAAACATTTTGCTGCTCTCCTCGATAATATATTCTCCATCCTCTGTTTCTACCAATGCCTGATCAATTTCATGGAACATTCCGGTACAATGGAATCCTTGGCACTCTTTATTTTCAACATTTCAAAATTGATTTCGTCATGATTATTCGTCAAATCATATTTTATAGTTTCTTGCTTACAATCTATTTTTGCGTTCATTTTCTTAAGGAAATCTCTCCCAAGAATTAATGTCCGTAAATGCGTTTTCAATATCACAAAGTTGTGTGATAATGTTTCGTCATCAATTTTTATATTTAAAAATATACTTCCTACCATGTCCAATTTTTTTCCATCGGGTCCTGCACAAATTTTTGCGAGTTTACTTATACCATGGCCTGTATCGATAATTTCCACATTAATTTTTAATTTGTATTTAGGGTCCAACTTCTTGATTCCGTTTATGGTCGACTTGCTTTGATTGACAGATTCAGGCGCGACGCTTAGTTTAAATCTTCCAACACGGAATATCTATTCCGGGTAGGAATATTTGTCTGTGTGCTATGACATACATCAGCATAAAGCCGAGGTCCTGATTTCTCTGATATTTCATTCATTTGGCATTTTTCTTCGACCTTCTCTTTGGTATCTGCTGGATCCTCTTCTAGGATTCTTATAAACTTGACCCTACAATAACGGGCCACGTGCCCTGGCTTGTTACATTTAAAGCAGATTGGTCTTCCATCTTCCGTCCTATTTTTGCTCACTTCTTGGCTTTTATTGTAAGTGTTTCTCTGAAGGTTTGGTTTCGGCACAAAGTTAGGATTATAAGGACGTCTAGGGGTAGAGGGCTGGGGAAAGTTGTTTCGATACTGTCTGGGGGTAGGCTGGGAGTCGTTCTTGTAATTATTGGAAACAGGGGCTTGGGGCCTGGAAGTGGTCTGGTAGTTTCGTGCGGCAGTCGGCGGCACGTACCTCGATTGTTGTTGGGGTCTAGAATAGCGTGGACCGTTATATAGGTTTCTGGATTTCTCCACACGTTCCCGATACTTCTTTTCAAAAGAATCCATTTTTTTGCACACGACAAGAAGGTCATCGGTCGTTTTAGGAGGGTTCAGGTAGAGCGCGAATGAGTACTCTTTTTTCAGTCCTCCAATAACATGTTCAATTTTTGTTTCTTCTTCCATTGCGGGGTCAACCTTGTTGCACAACACTAGAATGTCTTCCGCGAACCTGATTGCTGGTTCATTCCAGTGTTGCATTCTGTTGAGCTTCATTCTAAGTTCTTCTTTATTCGCGTCCAAAGAAAAATCCTGAATGAGGCGGATTTTAATATTTTCCCAGCTCGTGAAACTAGCTTTGTGTAAATTCAACCAGGTTTTAGCGCTTCCCGTCATG